TTTTCTTTTTCTTTTTTTTTGTAAATGTACTGAATTCATGGCAATACTAACGACTTTTTCTTTTTCTGTAAATTGATTGGTGAAGTTTTCGAAATTTTATTCGATAAAAGTGCAGTTTTTTTATTAACTAAGCAAAAAATTCGAATAGTTTGATTTGCACTTATTGCATGTAATGTTTTCAAATAAATTAGAATTGTACTGTAAGGGAAGTTGAAATAAACTTTTTTATCATTTATTGAAGTGTAAAGATTGAAGATTTTGCATGTTTCTATTATAACAAGAATAATCATTTTTAAATGTATTGCATGTTTTAACTATCAGATTAGATCAGATCCATATGTAATAAGAATGCAAATTTAATTCGTCTTGATGACAATAAATTATGAATTTTAACCAGAGATTTTTAATTCCCTCTTCATGTTGCATTTATAAATTGAGTTAAAATCATTTTACATTACGATTAAATCATTTCTAAAGCTTTAAACTTTTGATGATTATAACAAAACTATTAATCACAAAGCGTAATTTTATATCACAATTTTTTTTTGTTTTTTATTTTTCAATATTGTGGAAAAGAACATTGCAGAAAATGATTTCTGGGGAAAAGGAAATCAATAGTTTTGTATGCAATTTTTCGGAATCAATTTGTACTCTAAAATTTTCACAATTTAAAGAATTTTCTAGGATGAAGCGATTTGAATTTTGAAAATTTACGTAAATTTTGAAAGAGAAAGAAAAAAAAAAACGGTCGTTTCTTCTTTTGTCCGCTCGTTCCTTTGATCAAGATAATTTAAATATTTATGACAATTACTAAGGCAGAATGTCAGAATGGGTACGCCTGTGCACGACGTAAAATATCCGTTAATCACAATTGCTTAACAAATCGAATTTTACGTGAATTGCTATAGGCTATTGGAATAAGAATTGGAATAATCTGTTTTACAATTGTTCATTGAATTCTATCAATATTATCGAAAATAAAATGAAGAGAAGAATAGGAAACGATTTTGTGAAGAAAATTTCCATTGATATTTTTACTCAATGAGTCATCAATCTAATATTTGAATCGATCCATTATTATCTTAACCTGATACTACGATTGTCACAGAAATTGTCATGATTTAATAATGCTAAATAAAATTACTCAATAATTGAAATTAAGAAAAAATGCATGTCTTTGTAAAAATTAAATCTTTACGATCCAAAAACTAATAAAATCGTGATGAACTCTTAATATCGTCTTATTTTTACCTATTTAAGATGCTTACCTTACACTTCAAATTCTCTCCATCTAATCTTCTATTGTATCTAAGCAATTTCTCATAGTCTTTCCATAATATTACTTTAATTAATACTAAACTTCATTTTCTTTATAATATAATATTAATGATTATAAATTGAATGAAACAATAACTTCCTTATGTTAGCCATAAAACATATAAATAAAAAGGAAAATAACATACAATTGTTGTCATAAATAGCTCTAAGAGATTGTTTGTGTAGAAAAGAAAAGACATGTAAAGTGTTATGAAAATGATAAATGAATGAGTGATAAAAGGAGTTTGCATTGATAATAAAACTTAGCTTAAATGAATGAATGAATGAATGATAGGTGAAGTTAGTTAAAACTTACTACTGTTTCTCGTGAATATTGTTACTAGAAAGCAATAAAGAAAATGGGCAAAAGGCGGAGAGAAGAATGTTTAATGCAAAATGCAAAAAGGCGGTCCATCCTACAATAGTAGCAAAGTTATTGCAACGCCCAATCATAACGAGAATAAGATAGGGTGGAGAGTTATAGTATAATGAAGGATTTGGATATTTCAGGAATGAACTGTATTATTGCTAACCATCATATATAGAATGCCGCAAAGATAGCAATCTTTTATTAATGTTATACGAAAATTTTAAACGAAACTAATTTTTTCCCATTTTAATTCTATTTTAATTAAATTTGAATTTATTCAAATTGATTTTTATAATTCTACATAGTTTATGATGGATTTGTTTCTTCTTCAGTTTCAAGATTTTATAGGTTAAAAAAAAAGAAAGACCTGAAATATTAGTTTATTGCTTACTTACAAGTACACGTGTTTTGTAATATACTATCAAAACACGAAACGAATTCCTAACGTAATAAGTGTAAACTTTCTAAATAACCAGAAATTATTTACGTCTAATGCGTCTTATCTTATAATAAACATGGCAAGAATAATTCAACCTAATTTAAATGCGCAATTAAGTCAAATGAAAGAGATGTGCATACAATACAGTAAACGAACAAACCTTTTAAAAGCAAGCTATTCTATAACAACACACTATCTTGATGCTACAAATTTGGACATTTATGTTAATTAAGATCAAAGATAAATGGATCATAATAATGGTAATACAAGAGAAAGAGAAAAAAAAGAAGAAAACAATTTGTTACAATTAATCACGAGGTCATTTTATTCTAATATATGTCAAACTTAATGTTCTATCAATTGTATTGTCACATCAAATTAATATGTATAAGTATTATTCATACGTAATATAATGCATTATTCTATGTGCGGTAAATGAAATATATTTTTAGATGATTCAAGCAATTGAGATGAATCGTTATTTGG